ATGTATTTTGGTCTGAATGATTGGGTAATCGTCCATGAAATAACTTATTACATATAATGGATTTTTAATGATTCCTTATATATATATATATATATATATATATATATATAATAGATAGATATCATCAACTTATGTTCAAATGTCAGTAGCTTGAATCACTTGATATTTATTTCCTGTTTGTGTCATTAGCTTTTTAGCATGAATTTACTACGCTGATTTAAATGTCACAGTTAAACATTTCATATATTTTTTTTAAATATTTTAAGTATCATTGGCGTTTATATTTTTTGAGTGTGTATGTTTCGAGAATTCTCAGCTCAAAACAGAGCTTCCTTTCAAAATATTGTGAATGTTACATACACCATTAATTCTGTTTACACTACATACTTAATCCGAAGACTACGTGTACCTCAAAATAGATAATGGATCACCGTTGTATACGTTTATCGCTTTCTAGATTCAGACACATGCGGGGAAGATTTCAATAGAAAACTGGTGAATTGTAGCAATTCGAAGCAAATCAAAAGCATTCAATTAGTTGTAAGTAGAACACTAATATCGAACTGAGATCCAACTTAAGCTTAGAGAATTCGATGCAGCAAATATGCATCGAGGTATGGGATACTATTATATGCAACATATTGATTCGTCGATTCTTCGCAAAACGTTTTCTTGTCTTTCTTCCTACAACTCACTTTGTCTCCGCTGTGATTCATGCAACTGTAATTACTCTTTTATGATATAATACATAATTGACTTGAAATCCGGGAAAGTTTTGTCTGAATTTCTGGAATGAGGGGATATCATTATTTATATTATTAGTCCTCGGAGTATATTCCTCATCTTACTTTTTGGCAGATTAAATCTACAATTTAGACCTAAGATTGTCTGATGGATATTATTCTAGTGGATTGAATCTTCTGTTCATGAATTTAGTTACCGAATAACTGAGTGTTCAATTCCTTGTTCGGATAGTAGAAGTTTAGACCCAGTGCAAACAGGATGTGTAATATTTGACCAGTAGTAATACAGACATAAATAGCGAAAGGAGAATAATCTAAACTTGCAGATTTAATAAAGTGTTAATTTAGAAATTTCATGAATGTTATCCAGATCAATAGAAACTCCCGAAAACAAAAAGCACTGAAGGGGCGAAGTCCGAAACATTAGTAAAATATATACACAAATAAGGATAATGCGAACGTTATTTCGATAAATATATATGCAACAATAGTAAATTATTAGTAATATTTGAGAAAATTACGCACATATATATATATACATATATATATATATATATAATTATTTATTTTTTTAAAAATTGTAACATAAACATATTATAAAATCACTACAAAAATAGCCATTTTGTTTCAACACACTCGGTGTTTTATCAAGTGATGATGTTGAATGCAAAACAATGTTTTTAAAAGTTTCAAATTAATTAACGATCCTTTGCAAGGGGAAAACGTTGTTACAAAAGTAAGAATGACCCATCAAAATACAAGTATAGGAAAATTCAAAAAGCCTGACAACGAAGTCATGTTATTGTTTTTAAATAAATAATTATATATGCTCTACTTTGTATTGCGCACTCTTTTAAGAATAGTAATTTTTGCTTATTGGAATTCATTCCGTATACATCAATTATATACTTCGATATATATATATATATATATATATATATATATATATATATATATATATATATATATATATATTAATGCATGCTTCATTAAATAATATAGATAAGTTTTGTCTATTTTAAGTAAGTTCCTTTCATATTGTCTGATAAACTTAATCACATTATCGTTGAAAGATGAAAGGAAAACACCATATTGATACATGTTTAAATCCAATCTAAACTTTCGGCTTACACAAGCCATTATCGAAAATGACAATTTCAATAAATAAAACAACATACGGACGAAACAACAATGATAGTCCGCCCTTGCTGCATGAAAATTTCCAAGTAACGACAAACTCGTATATACGAGACGCGGAACCGATAATCGCGTGGCAGCTCGTGACGTCACACATAACCAGGCGAGAGTGAAAAACGACAAGTATTAAGTATAGGAAGCCGTTGGTATAAACCAATAACTTCTGCTACCAATTATAGGCATTTAAGAATATTTGTGGAGATTTCATAGTTTATCTTGTTCAAGATAGGTTTCAACAGTTTTATGTATAAAGCTTCAAGAATTTTTAGTTTTATTGTTTTCATTTTTAAGGATAGTTGTGTTGTCAACAAGGATTTTTCCGGTATTGAGTACATGGACAGGCATGTTTTATATATATATATATATATATATATATATATATATATATATATATATATATATATATATAAGAAATATAATGTAGTAGTTCCAACGAGAGAAAAGTATGTATATTAAAAAAAGAAAGAGGTGCGCAAACGTTTTTGGTTGTAATGTGGATTTATTTAGAAAAAATATTTATGTAAAACAAAGCACAATATTTTTTCTAAATAAATCACATTACAACCAAAAATGTTTGCGGCACCTCTCTTTCTTTTTAATATATATATATATATATATATATATATATATATATATATATATATTATTAAGTAATTCATCGAGTCTAGAAGAAACCTCAAATCAGACTCGATATAGCGTCGCTCACTCGCATATTCCGTGGTGAAACTCATCCGAGTTCCTTTACCCATAGAACTGTGCCCCCACGAGCCACGAGCTCACTCTCTCTCTCTCTCTCTATATCTATATATATATATATATATATATATATATATATATATATATAATCATTTAGAGTAAGTAACCTCACAGGAAATCTGAACCTATATTCCAAACGTTAGAAAAATATTTGATATTGAAATCAACTTCATTTATTCAATTTCTGATATTTAACTACAAACTATATACACGCCCTATTATTTGCTTACTCCTGATGTGTTGTTACGGCTTAACAACAAATTGAACGTTATTTAAAATAATAAAAAATGGATTGTAATATTTTTTTCGAGTTAATATTGCGATAAAAAGTTTCTTTAGAATTTCGATGACGGGTGGCTTTGTTTTTATGGCTTATCAACCTCTTACAGGTTATTTGAATTTAGAAAATAATTTCAGATTGGGAGAATTTTTGAGGAAAATAATGATTTCATGATACAGCTGTTTAGCCGATAACTGTGTGGAAAAGAGATAAACCCACACCTTTCCCAAGTAAATGAATATAATGAACTAGGCTCTCTGACTTCTAATTACGAGCCTTTATCCAATATTCCACCCACATATTCACGCTTACCGCACCTAGTATTCACAAGCAATCCCCTTATCGAGATAATGACCTGTACGAGAACTGGTGTTTCAATGTGATATCACCCTAGGCCTAGAATAACAATCCTTTTACAAGATACTAAAACGTAGCATAGAGACTAAATCTATTCCTACTATTCCCAGCGTTATTTGGGCGTAAGTGATGCATTCATACATTTTCAAAGGATATTTCCCGTAAGTTAATGTAACGAACCCAAGAGAAATATGAACACGGAATCTATGATTTCATATACCAAATTACTAACCATTGCACCAACTTAGAATTTACCATCATGCTTGACCTTAAGGACCGTAGGGTATAAAGATCTGGGCCTTACGATTTAAAGTATTTGTCATATAATCCATTCAATTTTTTTTATTAAAATACTTTATTCAAGTTATTAAAACAGTTTTAATGTATAACTTAAATTTAGTTTCGCAGAAATAGATAGATAGATAGTTAGACAGATAGATAGAGAGAGATGGTGAGAGACAAACAGATAGACAATAACTAGATAAACAGAGATACGGAGCCATAATTAAAAAAAAATAAAATTTGGATGTTTACATTTGCGCACTTATATTATTTAGCTCACAGAATAAGCTAAAAGCCCTCGCGCTCCTCCTTATTTTGAAATTATTAACAACATGTAAAGATTTGCTATCATTTTAGTCTCTAATGTAATTCAGCTTTGTACAAACGAATTTAAGATTTCTAAGGATAAATTGCTAATGTCTCTTGAAGGAAACAAATTTCCGGACTTTTATAGTAGTTAAAATATTTTAAAAATATTCACTTTGTATAGCCATATAATGCGCAATAAGATATGTTATAATTTATAATAAAATTTGAACCCGCCCCAATCCTAAATTTCTCATCTGACTTTGGCAAAAAAAATGTAGTCTTCTGAGTGAGCTAACCTTTCGATAAACCGGAAGTCACCTACTTTTGAAAAAAGCAGCCTATCAAAAATTTATTTACGTTTATAATTGCATATGTCTATATGTTGGATAAGAGATTATACATAAAAGATTCTTAATTTCTCAGAAATGCATGCATTAACACATAACTACGGACAATGCATAAACTTCGTGCTTTTCAGCGGTAGCATATGAAAAGGGCTTAGTCTTGCTGAAAAATAACAGTTAATGGTTGCTAAATTTCGCTCTTGCCCAAATTATTTTGTTTTTCGTAAAGATGATTTGACCATTTTTATGTCTTAAGGGATATTTTAAAGAAGCGGGAAGTGATAAAAGATAAACCTTCTATAGGTTGATATTTCGCTATAGTTAATTATATACGTAACTTCATATTATGATATCTTTTCCACCTTGAGACCAGAATTTCCAGAATCCTGTTACCTGCAACGATTAGAATGATTTGATGAATGTCTTTAATAAATTAATGACTTTATATTTGTACTCATGTAAATGATTTAATATTCTGGCATAATGTTAAATAAATACGAAATTTCATTAGAATGAGTATTTAATAACTGCTTTAATAAATTTGCATCTCTGCGGAACAAATAAAATTTGAAATGTCTTTTGTCATTAATCAGAAAAGTAATGCATTTAATCGTGAAAAGTTATGGATGCTTTCAATTGAATGTTTAATACAACTGTCCTTATATAATTATGCTTAGAATAAACGAAATATTTCGAGGTAAGTGCTTAATAACATCGGGCAGAGATATATGCTTACGGTCAAATCACGCTGAAACACCGGTTCTCGTACGATCACCGAAGTTAAGCAGCGTAGAGCCAGGTCAGTACTTAGATGTAAGCCCCCAAAGTCCAACCCTTACCTCACAGTCGGTGGGGGGTGTAAACGGTAGTGTCAGAGCTATGCTGCCCGGAACTTCGTTCCTGGTAGGGGCCACCCAAGGCGGACATGTCTGACACACACGCCGGCTAACAAGGGCTCTGGTGAAAATCCAAGGAGCGTCTGCATCGGTAACCGGCGGCTTCTGGTCGTTCCTGTCTCTGCGTCTGTGGGAATCCCGCGGCAAGCAAGAACGTTATCCGAGTAGGCCTGGGTACCCTACTTCTGTAATTTATCCCAAGAATCTTCTTCTCATAACAGGAAGAAGCCGGCTCAATCCGCCCAGGGTGAATGCCGCATCAGTACAGTAGTAGTAGTATGCAATCACGGTAGAACTGGCATATGCGTTTAATAAATCTGGGGTACTATATATGGAATCGTTTGAATGAATGACATATTTTAAGCCCGTATTTAATAAGACAGAGTCACTGCATTTGTTCTCTTTAGATTAGAAAAAATCTATAAATATCAGTATTAATAAAACCGACTCTTTATATATAAAGTTGTGAGAACGCTTTTCATGGAAATGAAGAATAAAGGAAATAAAATAGTTGATGCATTAAAACACTAGGAAGTAACTCGTAGAGAAAATGGTTGGCTTTAATTTCAAATTAAATCAACTGCAAATAAAAAAAGAGAAAAGTTACCCTGAAACAGTCCAGTTGTCAGCAGAGTTCAATTGATATTTATTGATTTAAAGTAGCCTCCTTCACTTGATATAATGTTTAGTGAATTAACTGACCTGATACATATTCTTTAGTACCACCTGTAAATAAAATATCAAACCGGTGGTGTTACTATAGTATGATATCTACTGTCCATTCCCCACTATACTATGATATCTACTATTCATTTTCTACTATACTACATTTACTAACTTTTGGAAATTTAAGATATGTTAGGGTTAGTGTTAGGGGTTAATGTTAGAGATTAGGGGATAGGGTCGTTGTTAAAGGTTACGGTAAGGTTAGGGTTAATGGCAGCGAACTGGTTATGTATTAAAAATCATTAACAATCTTTTATACAAATATTCTTTTTAAAAATCATCAAATAGGGATTTTATTGTTTGCAAACTGATGTGATGTCATTTAAAAATACACTTAACAGGTCATCGTTTTTCAGAGCATTTCCCAGCACTAATGAGTGCATCGTCATTTAGGGTCGGTCGCAAATGCCTTGGTAGATATCATACCATTGTAGCACCGAACTGGTTCTATTAGATGGCGAGTAAATGTAAATCTATTTATTTCTTTAGTGGATTCCATTATCAGTGACTGGCCCCGTTTTTCTTCCATACACACACACACAAATAAATATATATATATATATATATATATATATATATATATATATATATATATCAGGGTCACAAGATTGAGGAAAGAATTGCCATTTTGTTCAGTAATCAGAACTGCTAGTATTTAATCATTAGAGTGAATGTGCGTGACTTTTCTTGACAAATTGAACCCTTTATATGAAATTATTTAAATTAGTTCTTAAATGTTTCTTCTCAGGCATACCTTTCTCTAGACAACTGTCGTATTCTTTACGAATTATATATTATGAAATGTTTGGATACCATAGTTTAGATAACCAATAAATGCAATTTATTTATAATGTTACACATACAATGAGATACTCGACACGAAAAGAAAACACGTACAGAAGTCGGTGAAAGAAAGCTACGATAAACGAGGTAACATCAACTGTGATGGGACAACAGGCATGGTTTTTAGCAAAAGGATGCAAATTGGAGATATCAAAATCTTGGCCTTTTCCAACATATGTATCTCTTTTAAAAACATTCAACGAGACACATACATGGCATTTTTCTGTTAACAATCTTTCACGATATATACGCATAGAGCTTATACATTGTTGAAAAACCTTGAGCGCAACGCTCGGTGGATGAAACTAGCAAAAGACGTCCCGCTCAGGTTTAGTTAGAGATATCCTTGAATTTACCAGGGAACATGTAAAGTTTGATAGTGGACTGATGTAAAAAAAAATCCCTTCACCAATGAGTACAGAACACATTCGATAAGTGGATCTTACAATTTCGCTTTATGAGATCTGGGATTGAGTGAGAAGGGATTCCAATTGATTTCATAATCAAATGTGAAATACAGGATGCAGCTGTGTCCCTCTAGTAGAAAAAATATATCAAAACCCCAGGAAATTCTAATATTAAGAAATCGATGTGCCCAAATGACTTGAACGCACCCCAAATCTATTTAGCTTTCCCACAAAGGATTCACTTACTCTGACATGAGAAGCCTCGATTAACAATAAGTAAATCATTTTAAGACATTTTTTTTACAAATTCAGTAATCTTTTATATGTTAGCATTTGTTTAAATGTAATCTTAGAATTGTGTCCTTACTGAATACGATGCGTTATAAATATAATTATTAAAGTCTGTTCACGTGATGACGTTCTTGGTTTAAATAAATCCGAGACATATTATATGTAATTATTAGAATGAATGAAATGTATCTGTTTATTGCCCTCAGGATATATAACTATTTAGATGAAATTTTAAATGAATTGAGTCATATATATATATATATATATATATATATATATATATATATATATATATATATATATATATATAACATTGTCGTTATATTGGTTAAAATAAATGGGTCTTGAAATCTGTGGCATGAGAAATTTCCTCATTATAACAAACGAATGTTTCGACGCCTTTGTTTAACAAAAAAAGTGTACTATGTGGTCTTAAGAATTCATGAAGGTTTTAGATACTTATTTCATGTTTCGAATAATAAAAATTTTGAAAAATTAAAAAAAAAATTAATTTTCAGTCATACTGGGTTGTATATTAATATTTCTTAGTTTTATTATTTTAGTTCGATTCCTCGACTAGTTTCGGCCAGGATTGCTATCATCAGGAAAAAAAACCTGCTTGTTAGTAGCAGTGAACTACGGGAATAAATGACTTTCTGGAGAAAATTAATTTATCTGTAGTTTTCATTGATTTTTATCGTTAATTTTGTTCAGTTTTTGTGTTGGTAAAACGGCCTCTTTCAAGTAGTTTTTTTTTTTTTTTTTTTAAGAAAGAGGTTGGATAGATTCTTGCGACTCTGAATTCCAGTAGTCATTTTGATATTTTTATTGGCTCCTGGTAATGGGATGTGGTTGCGTTAAGTATATGTTATCATTTAGTTCTTCGGGAGTGTGTATGATGTGTGTTAATATATATGTTAGTATGGGTATGTGTATATGTGTGAGAACTGAAAACCTCCGCCAGCATGTGTGTGGGTGGGAAATGTGGGTAGGCCCTGATTTATGGGTTTATATATTAATACTATATTGCTATACTTGTGATTAAACCCGTCTAGATGGAGTGTTATGAGTCATAAAATCCATTTGTCATCATGGTCTTCTGGAATTTTTCTAATGTTATCATTTTTGTCTATTTCTGTTTTTTTGTTCAATTATAGTGAATTTGGCATGGCTTTTACAATCATCTTTTTTCTAGGCGTAAATGTTGTTCTACAGGTAATAATCTTTCGTGGGGAGCCAACTTAATTCGATTACGATAGTTATTAATACTGTAGTGAAGGGACCATTCAATTGCATTGTTGGAAAAATTCTGTTGTTTTCATTTTTGGTCTTATGCATTACCTTATCCTCTCAAATGTGGTTACTATCTATAATTTCTTAAGGTACTGAGGTCTACGATATGCTGGAAGGCCGAGCTCTTCAAGTAAAATTTTTAGGTCTGGTTTGAGATGTAGCATTTCTCAGTGACTTTTGATTATCTGTGATAGGAAAAGTGGAGTTGAAAGTGTTTTCTAGAGGGATGCGTCTGGATTTATTTTTAATTTTGTACATTAGATGTAGAAATTGCTTTATTTATTTGTTTCCTGATTATGTTTTGTTTATAGCCAAGTGTCGTGAATTGATGCTTGTGTTTATTTCGTTCTTCATTGTTGGAACACTTCCTTCTGATTTTAAGTGTTTGAGAATAGGGAAGGTTCTCTTTGAGGTGTTTAGGGTGGGAAGACTTAAAGTGTAGATTTGTAGGTATCGGTGATTTTAGTGTGCAAATAGTTTGCACATTTGTGTTTTTATTTATGTAAATGCAAGTGTCTAAAAATGTTACCGATATTGTTGAACTTACGTAGTTGAACATAATTGAGCCGTGCATCGTGTTTAAGGTCATAACAAATTGAGTGAGTTTATCCTCACTGCTCATGTATATTACAGAATATATCATCTTATATAAAGTACGCAGTCGCTATCAATGAAGGGATAGATATGGGACTCCTCAAATTTTCTCATCTGTGTGTGTTTGTGTGCGTGTGTGTGTAATTATGTATGTGCATGTGTTAAATAATTAAAAAAGAATTTAAATAATTTTACGTGTTTAATAAAGCCATAACTCGAATTGAAACATGACTGCAAATGTGTGGCAATTTTGACATGTTTTTGATGTAATATCCTAAAATAAAGAATATTGCTCTACTTTGTATCGGGCCCTCCTTTTAAATGTTACGAATGTTGGAATTGCCCTTTATTCTCATCTTACACACACACACACACACATATATATATATATATATATATATATATATATATATATATATATATATATATGCATTTGTGTGTGTGTCCGCCCGCGTTAAATAATTCAAAGTCATTTAAATAATTATGTGTTTAATAAAGCTATGACGGCATAAATTTAATCTTTTCAACAATTGAATTAAAAGTCGTACTTCTATAAACCAGAATATTTACATTTATGTGGAATATGATGAAACATTATCGAAATGTATAATAAAATGTGAAAGCATAGCAAAAAATATTGTAAGATATTCTAATAAAAATCCTATTTTTAACTAAAATTCATATGAGGTGATTTATCATTTAAATATAACGATATTCTTCAATGTTTAGTAACGTTATTTGATTGATAACAATTTTGTAAGGAAATAACT